GGGAAGAAGTTATATCAGAAGTTACACTAGGGGTCGCCTGAGTGACTCAATCCGCTAAAGGACTCAGATCATGATCTTAAGGCTTGTGAGTTTGGCCCAGGTTGGGTTCTGCCCTGCTGGCACAGAGCCTGCTTGGGGTTTTCTGTCTCCGTCTCTCTCTGCCCCTCACCCTCTCTCTCTCAAAATAAATAAATAAACAATAAAAAAAAAAAGTTACACTAACTTGTGACTCTACAGGGTGTTATCTAGGGACCATACTAGTGAGAAAAGGCCGGTGTTAGTTCAAGTCCCTGCGAAACTACTGGCTATACAAAATGGCTGCCAGGTGGCACCAACATGGAGTCCTTGAGCTAAACGGTCTATAATACCTCTATATAATCTATAATATATCCGTGTACTATCCCACTAGTCCCGAAAAGGAGAAAATGATACAATTGAGAAACTAGGGAAAAAATAATCACACATTATTTAAACTTTAAAGCCACTGAGAAAATGGATTTCTAGGTGTATTATTCCACTCCATTACAAATACGTGATACATATCATCAGTTTCCTACAACCTTAAATAAAAATGAGAGGTTAACATTGGTGGTGGGATAATACTTCATTCATTACACATCCATGCGAACACGTGAAAAACCATTATGTTTTAGTAACTAAAATATATTAAGTTCACAAATAGACTAAGTAATGCATTCCAAATCCACTCTATAACCCTTCTTCAAAATACAGAATACAGGCATTCAAAAAGCATTGGTCTCCTGATATAATGATGTGGAAATAGTACTTTCCATAATTTTCAGGCCTGAGGTCCTTCTTAAAAAATGTCTATCTAAAAATCATATGCCGTTTGGGGGAAGCATTTGCTATCCTTTCTGACATCTGTGAGGATTGATCCATTTCAACCACATCAACTGACATTCTCTACATCGAATTTTAGCTGTTATGAAGATACACCAGTATTTTACAAGACTGCCATGTCTTTTTTCTTAAATACCAGTTGGTAAAATAAAAAATACTTATCATATTCGGGAAAGGTTTTACTTTGAATAAATGGAGAAGATTGATGTTCTGAACACCTATCTCATTATAAGCAGAAATAGCATCTCCATTTAGATTTTCTTCATATTGTACATCAGACTGTCCTCCATCTTCCATGAAAATTTAGGTATGCAGGAGTCCCACCTAATGAAAGACATCTCCTATCTTTGATGCATCAACAATCAGCCACATACTTTCACACACCCACTAGGAATGAATTCTGCGATTTGAGAGTAGAAATACAATAATACTTGCTAGTCAAATATCTCAGGGTCAATGTAAGAAAAAAAAACACACTGAAATTAATTATACCTATGCAAAAATCCATCCACTTAAGCTTTTGAAGCATATTAGCATATATATTATCTAAGTGTTTAGCTTGGTATTTTTACTTATAATGAGTATTTTGATGTAATGTCTAAATAGGTTGACTGACATAATGCTTGCCACTTGATTTGTCACCTCTATTGACATTTGATATTCAATTAAATATTTTCCTAAATATTTATATCTTTCAAGTCACTTTCCTCTATGCACTCTGGTGTTTGCTAAAATGTACATTAAAATGAAGGTCTTTGCTCATTCATTACATTTTCAGGGATTGAATCTGGTGTGCATTTGGATTCCGGTTAAAGGCACTGCAACTTTCTCTACATGTTACGGTTTCTAAACTGTTAAGATAGCTATGATGTTGAACAAATTGTGAGTTTCGGCTACAGGATTGCCACATTCTTTACTTCTGTAATGTTTCTCCTCAGCATAAAGTCTGTGATGCTCAGTAGGGTTGAGCCTAAAAGTCTTACCAGATTCTTTACATTGGTAAATTTTTCCTCCAGTATTAATTCTGTGATGTTGAATGAGGCTTGACCTCTGATTAAAGGGCTTCCCAAATTCTTCATATTTGCAAACTCCTCTCCAGTATAACTTCTCTGTTCAGGAGTCAGGGTTTAGCATTGCTTAAAGGTTGGGCTACATTCTTGACATTTGTATGGTTCCTCTCCAATAGAATTCTCTGATGTGGAGTAAGGGCTGAGAAGTCCTTAATAGTTTTCTCATTCTTTAGATTTGTAAGGTTTGCTCCAGTGTGAATTCCGTGATAATGAGTAAAGGTTAACCAGAGATTAAGTGTTTGGCCACATTCTTTACTTTGGTAAGGTTTCTCTTAAGTGTGTATTCTGTGATGTTGAATAAGATGTGAATACTGGATAAAGGTGTGGCCACATTCTTCACATTTGTAAGGTTTCTCTCCAGTATGAATTCTGTGATGTCGAGTAAGGTTTGAGTGCCTGTTAAAGGCCTGGCCACATACTTTACATTTGTAAGGTTTCTCTCCAGTATGGACTCTGTGATGTCGAGTAAGGTATGAGTGCCTGTTAAAGGCCTGGCCACATTCTTTACATTGGAAAGGTTTCTCTCCTGTATGAATTCTGTGATGCTGAGTAAGGTTTGAGTGCCTGTTAAAGGCCTGGCCACATTCTTTACATTGGAAAGGTTTCTCTCTAGTATGGATTCTGTGATGTTGATTAAGATGTGAGTGCTGGTTAAAGGCCTGGCCACATTCTTTACATTTGAAAGGTTTCTCTCCAGTATGAATCCTGTGATGTCGAGTCAGGTTGGAGTGCTGGTTAAAGGCCTGGCCACATTCTTTACATTGGTAAGGTTTCTCTCCAGTATGGATTCTGTGATGTTGGGTAAGGTATGAGTGATGGTTAAAAGCTTGGCCACATTCATTACATTGGTAAGGTTTCTCTCCCGTATGAATTCTGTGATGTTGAGTAAGGTTGGAGTGCTGGATAAAGGCTTGGCCACATTCTTTACATTGGTAAGGTTTCTCTCCAGTATGAGTTCTGTAATGGTGAGTAAGGGTTGTGTGCTGCCTAAAGGCCTTGCCACATTCTTTACATATGTAAGGTTTCTCTCCAGTGTGAGTTCTGTAATGTTTACTAAGGATTGAGTGCCATTTAAAGGTCTTGCCACATTCTTTACATTGGTAAGGTTTCTCACCTGTATGAACTCTGTAATGACCAACAAGGGTTGCATGCTGGGTAAAGGCCATCCCACATTCTTGACATTTGTACGGTTTTTCTCCCGTATGGATCCTGTGATGTTCAGTAAGATGTGAGTGCCTGGTAAAGAGTTTTCCACATTCATTACATTTGTAAAGATTCTCTCCAGTATGAATTCTGTGATGTTGAGTAAGGCTTGAGTGGTGGATAAAGACCTTGCCACATTCGTTACAAATGTAACTTTTCTCTCCAGCACCGATTGTCTTATGTATATACAGTCTTGATGACTGACTATACATGTTCCCAGGTTTATTACGTCTGTATGAGTTTTTTCCCACATGCATTCTCTGATGATCAATAACATTGGAGGTCTGGTTAAGAGCTTTGTCACATTCATTATATTTATAAGGATTCTCTCCCATATGCATACTCTTATGTATAATAAGGTTGGAGCCTTGATAAAAGACTTCCCATTTATTACACTCAAAATGGTTCTCTGGAAAATGAGTAATCAGATGTTTATTAACATTTGACCCCTGGATAAATATCTTCTCAGATTCACTGTATTGAGCAATTATGTTTTCATTGAAAATGCTCTGGTAGTTTTGCAGGGTTGACTCCTCGGTGAAGGAACTCTCAAACTGATACCACATAGCGCTTTTTTCTTCATTTTTAAATCCCTGATTTTCAGAAATATTGGACTGAAAGGTCAATGCAAACCTATTTTCAAAATGGTTCAAATAATTATTTTCAGCCTGGACTAGGTAATTTTCTAGATTTTCCAAATTTGGATTCTGCATATACGTATCTTTGATCATTGGATTTGAACCATTGCTTACAGAAACACAAGGCTTTGCAGAAGTAGTTGACTTAAAAAGGGATGTCGTCCAGAATGTTTTATATCCTTCACCGTCTGGGGCGGTGAGATTCTCATAATGGGCAGTTATCTCTGTTTGGATACGTCCTTCATATCTCGGATGCTCTGCACTCTCTCCATCATTGTCCCAGTCTATCATTAAGTGTAAATTCTCAAGGGCACTCTGTTTATATCTACCCAGTGACACATTCTGAAAACAAGATTCTATGCACGGCTTTGGCAGCAAGCTCTGGGTGTCATTTGAAGATACGGCTGAAAGAGATCAAATAACAGAAAAATAAAATCATTTTTATCCAACTACTGTCAGATAAATACACTGACCAGTTCTAACATGCAAAATTAAAATCGATCGGAGAACTTCAGCAAGACGGTTGAGAAGCAATCATCAGGACCTCATTCTGCCGGCACACAGAAATTTGCATATAACGTGCTGACCACGTAGCCTAAGAGATCATTCTGGAGTACCGTCACCTGTAGTACACGTCGCTTTTCTATATGGCAAAAAGTCAGAAGTACCGTTTGAGAACAAAATTAGCAGAAGGAAGGAAATCTAAACATCAACCACAAATGAACAAAACAGGATATAGCAAAAAGGGGACAGTGTCAACAAGAAAAGGAGCTGGTGTTCAGAAAAGATCAACAAACATGACAGACCTGTAACTAAATCAGCGAAGGACAGAGAAGACCAAGTACAATCAGAAGCGAAAGCAGACACATTAAAACTGATATGACAGAGGGGCGCCTGGGTGGCTCGGTCGGTTAAGCGTCCGACTTCAGCTCAGGTCATGATGTCGCGATCCGTGAGTTCGAGCCCCGCGTCGGGCTC